CTGGGAGCGAAAGAGCTGAGATGTCGATGAAAAAGCAAGAGGCTGGAGAATTTCCAACACTGTGAGGATGGAGCAGGACGGGGCTGTGTTTCACTCTGCTGTGCCCAGGGTCACTCTGACCCAGAACTGACTCGCTGGCATCAACAACAACAGCCAGATTTTACCTTTTGGTTGATGAGATTTAATACCTCGCCTGCTTCCATCCCCCAAAGGAACACTAATCGGTCGTAGGCAGCCACACCTTAGAAATTGCTAATACCTTGGATAGGCCCACAGGGTCAGCGACAGGTACCTGCGCACCTGATGGGATAAAACTAATACCACGTAAGAGAGAGCTAATGATCTGTGAAGAAAAGGGGCTCTAGGAAATGGTCTCTTCCTGGCTATGAATGTACTTTATGTGGCCCCAGGGCCCCCCAGCAGTGTGGGTCCTGTCCTGACAGGGACGTGTCAGGGAGCGGTGCCTGTGAGATCGAGGCACCTAGTCGGCAACCTGTGTGCAGGAGGACAGGCAGGCACGCTGGACTGCATGCATTTGATGGCTTTAGGAGCCACCAAGGGGAAAGCAGAGGGTCCAGCTAAGCTCGGGTACCCCCCCCCCCCATCTGGGGACACCGGATTCACCCCCTGTGCTCGATTTTCCTCCCTTAGAATCGGAGAGGAGGGAGGATGCTTTGTGCCCCTGGAGCTCTTCCAAGCTCCCTGCTGTCCCCAGAGGCCGTCGCTGCCCTGGAGGAAGGACCTGAGGGCAAGAGGGAGGGGAGAGGGCAGGAAAGGGATGCAGACTCCTTTGATCATCCCAAGCAACCAACCACCTTTTGCTCACTTGTTGAAGAAAATTAACTTAAAAAAAGAATCACATGCAGACAGCCCATATCTTTCATTTCAGTCATCAATCAGGAAACAACCTTCAGAGATCAAGGACATCAAATGTGGGGTCTCTCGTCAAACACAGGAACAATTGTGAGGCTGGGGGCGGACCGGGCAGTGTTTTGTTCTGTGCACATGGGGTCACTACGAGTTGGAACGGACTTAAGGATACTTCACAACCACCACCATCCATCTGCATGGCCCCCACTAACCAACCGACCGTCTACCTATCCCTGGATGGTGCAGATGGGCAACATTTAGGTCGGAAGTGTGAGTCTCTCCAGAGGCACCTTGCGGGGGAAATCTGATGAGCTACTTGTGAAAAGGCAGCCATTGGGAACCCTCGGGAGCACCGGAGAGGGCCGTGATGAGCCTCCATGATGAACAACGGGAAGCGCTCTCTGGCTCGCCGTCCTCTGGCTCTCACCGCAGCCACTTCCCGAGCCGCGCTTTCTTCCAACAAATCGGAAAGCAGGCTTTGTTACCCTTCCTCCACTCCTCCAGGATCGTAGCAATCACATGCATGTTGCAGAAGGCAGGCTCCATGTCCTCAATGTGCTGTACCCAGGGATGGTCTCAGAGGCTCTGCCCCAGCCCCTGACGCTCCACATCTTTCTCCTGTGCAGATGTCGATCCCCAGGGCTTTCATGGCCGTCCTCATGCTGGTGAACCCCATTATTCCCAGTCCAGGGCCTCCCTTCCCATCCACTTATCCAGCTTTTAGAGATCTTTACTAGGAGAGCACTTCAAATTTCACATGCACACACACGCACACACACACCCATACACCCACCATATACAGGAATCTGCTGCATCTTAGTAAGTCATGCAACCAATCCACTACTAGCTTGTGTCAGAAATATAAGGGCCTTCAGGGACATCTCGTACACCCTCATCCTCCAGCAGCTGGGAACTGACCTCTGGTCTCTTTCCCTGCGCTCCTGGACCCCGCATCTCTCACCTGGACAGAACCATGTTCCTAGCAGCCTCCCTGCCCCATTCATTTTCACTCCTTTCAGCCTGTTTTCTCCACTGCAATTAGAATGCACATACTAAACACATGTCCTGCTTAGCATGTTTCCATGAACACTCACAACCTCAGAATAAAATCTATCACCCTCATGCCTTGTAAGACCCTCCTTGTCCTGGCCCCTGCCTCTTTCTCCAAGCTCACATCTTCAGTCCTGGGCTAGATCAACAGCTGTTCCTCTGGCCTGGACTTTGTCTGATCTTCCACACCCCCGGCCATGCTTACACCCACACACCCACCAACCTCGTGCCCAAACCTTCCAAACTCCTCTAATACACTTCTCCCTCCATGTAGACTCTGACCAAACGATGTTCCATCTTCATGGCACTTTGCCAAAGCCTATTATTAACACTGTCTCTCATTATACTAATTACTTTGCTTGTTTAATAACATGTTGGGTTAGTCCAGATGGACTAAAGAAACAAATCCAGGGAGACTCATATGTGTATACTAAAGAGCTTTATATAAAGAGTAATTGTTAACAAAATGTTTTAAAAAAGAAAGCAAAGCACCATTAAAAAGATTAAAAGGGAAGAAAAGACCAAAAATAAATAAATAAAGAGTAATTGTATATTAAGAAAACATCCTAGCCCAGTCCAGCTCAAGTCCTTAAGTCCAACTTTAGCCCATATGTCCAATACCAGTCTGTAAATTTCTCTTCAGACTCATGCAACACATGCAATGATATCAAATGCAGGAAGATCACAGACCCGTGGGAGGAAAGTCCTGTGGATCCAGTGGTGGTAGAAGCATCTCAGTGCTGGCATGGTCTCCACATGGCTCCTCCAGCTCCAAGGCTCCATCAGTGTAGCTCGATGTGTCTTGCCAACAGGAATGTCAAACAGAGATAGTGTGTGTGTGTGTCTGGCCTCCAGTGTGCTATTTAAATCGGTCATGCCTCCAAATGAGGTCATCAAGTGACCTGATTGAGAGGCTAGACTCCACCCCTTCACTCTTAATAGTCTCAAATTGACACCCGATTATGTGACTACCACACCTGTTTTCCCATGGGATTGTAAACTCTTGAAGGCAAGAGTCATGTGTTGTTTAGTACTGAATTCCTCAGACTTCGTGCACTGAGGGCTCAATAGTTTGTGGAGTAAAGAGATAGCTTTCCATTGTTGACCTTTAAGACCCTCCTCTATTTTAGTAACTAGGCCTAATATTATTCCCTGGCAGCAAGTCGATGCTGATTCATAGTGACCCTGTGGGACAGCGTAGGACTTGCTCTTTGGGTTTCAGAGACTGGAAATCTGTAGAGAATCAGGCAGCCTCCTCATCTTTCTCCCACCGAGTGGCTGGTGGG